AGACCTGAAAGGCTAGGGTCAGATAGAAGGGAAGAAGGACCTCCTGTATCAGTGGACTAGAGGAGGGGCATAGGATGAGAAAAGGAAGGGAGGGAGGGTTTGGGAAGAGACGAGGGAGTTTTGCAGTACCAGATGCAGGTTCTTGCCTAGTGATAGGGCCTTACGTTTAATTCGACAGCAGTTGGTTGCCACCAAGATATGAGTGATATCATTGCACCATAATGATATCATGACATACTCATCGTTGTAGTGATTCAAAGGCATCACAACTGGGAAGGAATATCGGCCATTTCCTTCCCTTGGCAGCTTGAGTAGGATCTTCTAATAAATATGAAAACTAATCTTCAGGGAGAAAGCTTTCAGGTGAGATTCAGCTCAGATCCTCCAAGTCCTTTGTCTAAAAAGCATGGTGCCTTCAATCTCTAGGAAGCAGCCAAGAACAGAAGCAAGAGAATGGTTTTTGAGACGTTCTTCTGTTGGATCTCTTCTTCACATGGATGTAAAGTTTGTTAAGAGTAGCAGGTACATTTTTGGATGGAAAAAAAGAGTCTACCAATCACAAAATAAATTGTTTTTAAATGCAGTCTTAATTAAGACATAATTACACTGTATTCCTGTTTTCCTCTCTCTAACCCTTGCCATGTGTATCCCCCATGTTCTTTTTCAAATTTGTGGTCTCTTTTTTTATTGTGATTATCTAGAGATATTCACAATTTATATGTGTGTGCAGTATACACATAAATTATGAATATATACAAGTACTTAATTATATTCCATATATTTATAATATAGTAATCAAGTATATATAGTATATAGTATATTTATATATATCAAGTATATATATATATATATATATATATATATATATATATATATGTATATATATAGTAGTCATCTTAAGGAAGCCTTATGGGTGTGTAGCTACTCTGGCATGTGTAGTGGACAAAAATCTCAGAGGACACTTCTGTTCTTCTGGCTCTTACAATCTTTCACCCCATGTTCTGTTGTGATTCCTGATATGAGGTTCACGGGTTGTGCTGTAGGCTTATTAGTTGGGGTTGGGCACCACACAGTCACTCATTCTCTTCCATTTGACTGGTTATTACTTCCTCTAAAGGTTTCTGTCTATTGCAAAGAGACATTTATCTGATAACATTTGAGACCTGTTCTTACCTGTGGGTCTAAGGATACCTATTTATCATCTACTTGCGAATTAAGCTGGTTTAATAAGTGTTATCTGTAGACTATCCTCCAAGGTAAATGACTGCCCTAGTTCTGCAGTGTTGGCTCGTTTTCAAGTACCTGGCATGACTGCCTTCTTGTTGAATGGATCTTAAGTCTACCTAGACAGCAGTTTGTTATCACTAAAGTTCTTAAGGATATCATGCACTGCATATCTGTGTAAAAATATTGTTGCTTCCCTCAGTTGGAAGTTTGTGTGGCACCTTCTGGTACTGTGAAAACTAGTCCTCGTGGAGAAAGCTGTCAGATCAGATCCAGCATGAGACCTCCAGGTCCTGGATTTGAAGTACATGATGGCTTCGGAAATGACATCTTCCTACCTTCCACCTCTGGGAGATAACAAATGGCAATAACAATAGCCTATGTTATGTGGAGGATTTCTTGAAAACCCTGAACAACTCAAAAGGGGGCTTCTCCTGCCTGCTATTGGTATTCTTATGGGATAATCTATGCCTCTTTCACTGTTAGAGAACTGTTAGAACAGTTGGGAATTCTATATTTATGGGGACTATGTCTGCACATTTATAGGTATTATATGTAATTTTAGAGAAAGAGATAATATGTGATTTATTATGATTTTCAATGCATACAAAATAAGTTCTTTATATATAAAAAGACTCATAAATTCAGATGAGGTTACAAAAGACAAGATTTGGCAAGGCCCAAGGTGTAGTTTCAAAAGAAGAATATACTTTTGTTTGGTAGAATTGCTTGATATTTTATTGTGTTAATATTTACATGTGGCTATGAAAATTCTGGGATGCTGATATAGATAAAAAAGGAGTCAGTATCCATCTGCATTTCTGATAATGATCTGCTTATGTTAAAACAAACATCCCTTGTTTGCAGGGAGAGTAAGGAAAGTACTGCTCCCAGATCAGTACTGTTTAAAATAGAATGTTTTTCTTGATAAGGCAGAGCATATAGTTTCACAGCTTCTAAATTTTGGATATATGTTGAAGAGAAAACAGCTTAGAAAATATAATGAGCTAGTCAATCATTTTATATTATATTAATTATATTATACAAGGCTATACATGGTCCAAAACAAGATGGATAACCCATCCACACATCTTTCTGCTGAGAAATGGAAAGATGGTTTAGTGTACTCCTATACACATAATGATTTCAAGAATATTCCATCTAATCCATTATCTAACAGTGTTAGCAAGATATTTGTTTCAGAACAATTTAAACATACAATTTCAAAATAAAAGCTTTATCTTGCAATATAGATCCAGTACAAAGTGTTTCTATTCTATTTGACATTTTATTCATGAGTGTTCAGCAGCCTGTTTTTCAGAGAATATATAAAAATGTCCTTGTTTATGCTCCTTTCAAGTAACTTATTTAAGGTTTGAGATATCGAGGGGGTATTGTTTAAGGATGTCATGTTAAATTTTGATTGGACCAAGTTCACCTCACTGCTTCCTCTCTAATCCCTCAGTTTCCCCCCTCCAACCATTTTTCCTCCAAACTTCTTGTGGTCTTTTTTATTTTTGTTGTTAATCCCTTAGGTCCATTTAGCATTGCCTATAAGTATATATTTACAAGATAATCTTTCAGGGGTCTTTCCCTAAATTTCTCTCAATCACCAATAGCTGCTCAGATAGAAGCAGGATTCTTGAGTCCCTTCCTGCCCTGTGCTAGGATTTTAGTCGTCTGACTTTATACATGTCCTGTATATTCAATTATAGTGCTGTGCATTCCTACATGCCACAGTCATGTCATATCTTGGCAAATACTGTTTTACTGCAGATGTCTACTACCTCTGGGTTTTATATTTCTTACTCTTCTTCCATAATGATTCCTGAGCCTTAGTAGAGAGGAAAGGTGATACCTCTTTTAGAGCTAAGCATCATATACCCTCTTATCCTATGTGTGTTGACAAATTGTAAGTCACTGTATACATATATTTAATGCACAGACAAGTTTCTTTGATAAGGGTTGATGTCTGCTTAGCAAAGTAAATCATTAGGTTCTCTCCTAGGGCCTATGATCTCGCTGGACACTGGTTTGGAGCCCAGTGAACAATGCCAGCTGTAAGTTCTGTCTTGTGGAGTGAGCTTTAAGTAAGTGGTTGGTTGGATATTCTAAAAACACTTGTGCCATAATGCAAAAGTGCCAGGCCAGTTAGTATTGTAGCTTGGAGAGTTTATGTAGGTTCCTCTATCTAGCACTATGAAAATTAAACAGTATGTACAAAACTCCCAAGTCAATACTGGATTTATTTTTCCATGTCCTATGATTCAAGTATGTGGTGTCTTCAGCAAGAAGGTCTACGATCAGTTTCTGAATGGCAACCAAGAAAAATAGTAATAGTGTACAATGTTGGAAATGGTGTCTATGAGACCTGATGGACAACTTAAAAGTTGATAACCCATATCTGGCCTTCTGCATTTTAAAGCCTATGGTGCCTGGGGAAGGCAATTTTTTTCATTACAGGATAACTCCATTTAAACTGTGCTTAAACACACACACAAACACACACACAAACACACACACACGCACACACACCTATGGTAATTTTCCATATGGCTTTTGCCTAGCTTTGAGAATGTTTTACATTATTGCCTGTTGAGCTTACTTTATGTTTGAATACATAGAAGCTACACAGGATTGTGTTGTTGACAATGGCAGATTGCCCCAAGGAGAGTTGTATTCTCTGCACTAGGAAATGTCTTTGCATTGACACTACAAAACTTGGGCAAGAAAATCTGTAATCCATGTGCCAGCTTTGAGAAAAAAAATCAAATAAATGTTTGTCATGGTAAATCTGTTACATTTATTTTTAGGTATGACAATAAGACTGGGATAAATTCTGTAAAATATTTTTGTTCATGGGCCTATGCTGATATATTTTTAAAATAAAATATTTTTATATCTGGATTATACGATCAGTGGTCTATGTTGTGTCAAAATCCTCCTGTCTCAGTTTTAAAAAAAGAGTCTAGTACATCTTTCCTACAAGCACAGACTCACGTTAAATGTAGTGCATGCCAGTTTTTTACAACAGTAATAACGGTCTCCTGTATACCTCACTCGTATTCCAAGAGCCAGAATGGGACACAATATGCTAAGCCTTTATCATCTTCCAATCATGTTTTTCTTAAGCAGTTGCACCCCTGCACAGAACAGCATCCACAGCGATGACCAGTGTCCCAGGCTGAAGGCTGACAGTCCAGGCTGACATTCAGCCCCATATATTCTATTGAGCAATCTGACCAGGATGGGCAAAGCTTTCTGCAGATCAGGACCCTGAGCTTGCTGTGTTCCTCTCTTCACACTCCCCTCCCCTTTTCTACAAACCCCAGTGGCCCACAAACAGACACACAATTTAGACGCAGCCTGTTCTTGCTCTTCTCCCAGGCTTTGGCTCCTTCATGCCCTTCCTCAGCTCTCTCCCTCTCCCTTCATTAAATCCCAATCCCCCTTGTCTGACTGGCTCCTTCCCAGGCAGCAGGAGAATGCAAAGCCACTGCTGAAGCTGTTATTGCCTCTGCAGCTGGGTCTCTGTCAATATCACCCGCCCACGCTTATCTAGCTTCTAGAGTCACAGGCTGGCCTGGAGATGAGGGTGGGGGAGTGGCCAGGAGAAGGGATGCAGGAAGGCAAAGGAAACAAAAACAGCTACAAGGCTTGCTGGGCATGTGTCTGTAGGTGGTCTCTGGTTCTGTGACTGTGGAGCCAGTCCGGTGGCTGATTGTCTAGCTGGCAGCAGCAGTGGACAGCGGAGCACAGTGCAGCAACCTCCTAAACAGAGAGCTGAGAAGAAACAGCAGCCCAGGAGAGCAAAAGCTTTGCTGCTGGTGTTCTTGGTGGAGTTTTAGTGAAGACTATCATTTGGCAGCAAGTAAGTGTATTTTTTTTTTTCATGTAGTGACAATCCCAGGATTAGGATAGCTTGTGGCATTGCCCCGCTTTTCCATCCCACCCCACCTGCCCCACCCCATGTACAATCTTTAGGAAATGTTTGAGAACCAGAAAGAACATTAAGATCTAGACCTGGACTAACAGCTGCAAGGTGGGTGTTTGATTTGCATATGTGGTTAGTTATATCACCCAACCAGGTAAGCTGAAGCCAAGAAACGCTCCATTACTGTAAAAATATCTAGATCCCCCCCCAGGTGGTGATGGTTAGACTGCACGGAGCAGGAGGTATGCTGTAAAGGATTCAGTCTCTGTACTTTGGGAAATTTCGTACTTTCAAGACTGGGGCTTTCGATGTGACTATCTCAGTATTATAGCTGTGGAAGGACGCAGTTGGGAATGGTGTGTTTATTCTGAACAGCTTGGAGTTTGGCATCATTTGGTGCAATATGGGTTTCTGTTTTGTTTGTTGTATTGTGTGATTTCCCAAACACAGTCCTTCCAGAGGTCTGTTTCCTTTGGGAACTGATGGTGTTCTTCTGGTTGTGTTACTTCCAGCACTTACGGAATTGTCAGATCGGTTCCCACGCTGAATCCACGCAGAATTTTCAGCTGATGGGCCCGTTTAATACAACATGTGGACGCTGGCCGGGAATATCTGAAAGAGATGTGTGGAAGCGTTTTGGTGGGGAGAACTTTGAGCACAGTAGAAGGGGCTTGCTGTGGCCTGGTCAGAGCCCTGGCACCTTGGCTGTCACACTAGCTCTTCAGTGCCGTTATCAGATGTTGCTCTTACAAGTAATATAGACACGATTCATGAGACATAGTAGCCCTCCTCTTCTGTGGGCATCTGCCTTTAAGTTTACAGTTACCCTCCTACTTTCACACTCTAAGTAATGATTTTATGAGGTATTGGGCTACTCAATAGTTCAACTAGGATCCCAGTCATAAAATTTGGGGGACTTAGAATTATAAAATTTCATTTGCATTTGGTATGACAATATGAACTATTGATATTTAACTTCATTGGAATTGTTACCCCTGATTTGTAAATGGTTTAGGACAAATGCCTGCTAAGGACTAACAGAGACAATATGAATTGTTTTATGAAAGCAATAGTTTGTGTAGCTGTTGGTTTTTCTCTCCTTTACCAGTGTGGCTCTCAGTATGATATCGGAAGAACGGGTCTTTGGACAAACCATTCTAGAATTATGAGAGCAAGAGAGTCATATATGTCTCTAATCGTGTATTTTTGAAATCATATTAGAGTTCATGTAAGAGTTCATCCTTCTAAAAGATGTGCCAGTCATATTGTAACACACCTGAGTATTCTTTAAATACAACTTACACCTTTTTTTCTCTTTTTAATTTATAATTTTACTTTTGTTGTGTGGCCTTATTTGCTGGTTTTAACAGTTGTGAATTTATTTGATATAGTTATTAATATAGGTGCTATCAAGTTTAGGCATCAAAACCCCCTGGTTGCAGAAATCTATTAAATCTTGCTTTTTAGCAAAGGATACCGTGAACACATCTTTATTCATGGATTTGTTTAAAATAATAGAATTAACCGAAATTGGTGACACGGCTCTGGAAAAGAGACTAGCTAGGCTCAGATGACATGGTCGGGACATGTTCATTATCACTGCTGCTTATCAGACTGACCTGGGGAACTGGAGTCAGAACCAAACACTTGGGAACTGGTCATTCTGTTTCCTGGTTCTCATGTGGTTAAAAAGGGGAGGGAGAGGTAACTGATATGTGTTGTGATTGAATTTGCCTAAATGAGACCTAGTCAGATTTTATCAGACTAAAAATGTAGGGTCAATACTTTGCCCAACCCCTTCCTTGGATAAGAACTATGTTAATGATCCCAACTCTAGGAGCCACTGGAAAAAGCTCTGCATAGCAGAGCAATACTTGGAAATTCACACATAACTTTCTAGTCACAACTTAAACTTTGTCTTCGAAGCTTATAGGTAGTACGCAAACATTCTTTTAAATATATTTTAATTTTCGAAATCATAATATAATTATTTTACCCCCTTTGCTTAATCTATTTTCACACCATTACCCTTTGTGTAACCAATTTTTCCTTTCCCCCCTATTTCTGCCCTTTTTCCACCCCACTGCTTTCTCACAAATTCATAGCTTCTGTTTCTTACATTACTGTTACATTTTTGGGAGTTTGATCTTTTATTTCCACTAGCCTATATCAATATTGATCAGTTTGAGACTGTTTGCAACTCCTACTTGCCTCCACTGGCTCCCAGCAAAGATGCTGTCTTTCCTCACATGAAATTAGAAACAGTCATCATGTCCCTTGCCTTTGTCCTCTTCTCTCTGTATCTCCTGTGTGATATGATGTCAGCTAAGCCAATTCACACCTCCCAAACACTGAAGTATGGAGCCTTTGGCTTTGAAAAGAATGCTTTCCTATGATGGTTTCTATGGATATTTCTCAACTGTGTCACATCTCTTGACCCAGTTAAGATTCTGATGTGTGTACATTTATGTAGCCATTGCGCTTTTTTTCTCTCTCTTATAAAGATTCATTTTGTTGTACTCTCTTTTACTCTACCAAACAATTGTGTCTTCCTGTTGTTGGTGAAGCCTTTCTGACTGAACAAAGTCTGTTGAAGATAGCTGAGAATAACTAAGGAATGTTCCATACCAGAGTCGGGTATCAATCTCACTGTGTAGTTATCAAAGATCTTGACTGAAAGAAGAGCTGGAGATGTGGAACTGCTCATGAAAATTCAAACTCGAAACGTCTATAATTAGGACCTTTGGGACTAGAACACCAGATGCTGATTCTTTGGAAGCCATAGTCCTGGAATGAATAAACTGTTGCCAGTGGAATATTCCATTTTTTTTTTATTTAAACATGAAGACTAAAGCTTCTAGTTCAGCAGAGTCCACATGGCCTGAAACATCGGTCATAGATTACAATGTTGACTCTGGACCACAGCTTCTATCTTCCATTGATATACAGCCCTCCGATGGTCATGGGTTTGCCCAATGCAAAGTGAAATCAAAAGCCAATTTATTGTCATTCACCACGGTTGTTTTTAAACTTCCTCTGTTGTTGCTCTTCAATTTTAGAAGAGGTGGACATCTATTGTGTTTAGGGTTTTTTTTTTTGTTTGTTTGTTTATTTTGTTTTGTTTTCCATTTTGAGCTTTTGGGCTCTCAGGGATTCTGGTAAGTCAAGAAGACACAGTGTTATAAACAGATCTAAAGGGGCATTTCCAAGAGCTCTTCAGGCCTCCAGGAAACACCCCAGTTCTTGATTTAAGAAGAGCATTTCATAGCTCCATTGCCATCTAATACCATTGTCCAAAAGATCATAGGGTTGCTGGAGACTGTACAAGCCACATTCATTACTGCATCCCCTTGTATTTCTCTAACAGAGACAAGAATGCATTCCTTCCCTTTGAGGTCTTAAATGGCCTGTGGCCAGCTCCTTCTGGTCAAGAGTCTAACAGACTAGGCTTGTAAGACTATTTAGTTTTGAAAGCTTTTGGCTTTCTTCCAGCATACTTGTTTTGTAGACCAGACAAGCACAGCTTGATAGTTTTAACCATCTCAGTAAGAGATGTTCCTAGGGAACAGTGAGATTGGCATAGAAAAGCTCAAGTCGACATCGGTCAAATGAAGAGGATTTCATTCTGGTACCCGGAGTCCTCCCCTAATTATATTGTCTCTCTAGTTATAAAAGTTCACCATGTTGAAACTCACCTTCTACAATACCCCGCGTGTCATTGCTGGTGTTCAGAATCATATTGTATTTTAATTAGATTTGTTTCATTTTTCTAAATTAAAGTTAGTCTTTGACATTTTCATAGATTTAAACAATGCATTCTGAGAATACTCATTTGTTTACACTCCCTCATTCTCCTTCTTCCCTGTCAGTTCTTCCTCCTCCTTGCAAGTCTCCTTTGCTACCTCATGTCATTTTTCTTCATTTACTTCTGACCTTTATATTTTGTGTTGTGACTCACAAAATTTACCCAAGGCTCTGTCTATAAGGCAGGGTATGAGACAATCCCCTGGAGCAGGGTGGGGTCACCACTGGGCAAGGGATGGAGATGGCATGGGAGGACTTCCCCCTTTTGCAGGATCTATCAGCATACAATACTTACTTTCCCAGCTATCATGGTATCTTTCTTTACATGGAATTAACTTATAGAAATAAATCGCATCTTTCCTATCTCAATCATCCTCTGTATCTCCTGGGTGATACAATATCAACTAAGAAAAATCTCACATTCCAACAGTGAATGATGGATCCTTCGATAGTGAGGTGAATGGTTTCATCAGATGGATGAAACTTCCATGATTGAATGTAGAAAGACCCTGCCTTGTGAGTCCCAGTGCAGGAAACCATCCCAGCTGAGTTCATGACTCCAGTGACCCTCTCATACACATACAGTTTCTTACATCATCAGGTTCTTACTTTCTCTCTGCCTCTTCTTCCACGATGCCCCTTGAGCTTTGGAGGGGCTTGATATAAATGTTTTATTTAGTCACTTATTCTCAAGTGACACAATATTCAGGTTGGTATGGCCATAGAGCAGTGATTCTCAGTCTGTGACTCTCAATCACTTTGATAAACCTCTATCTCCATAAATATTTACATTACAATTTGTAACAGTAGCAAAATAACAGCTGTAAAGATGTAACAAAATAATTTTATGGTTGAGGTCACCAAACTCAACTGCATTAAAGAGTCGCAGCATGAGGGAGGTTGAGAATCACTGTCATAGACAGTCATTATTTACTTATTCTCTGCACCCTGAGCAGCCATTCTGCACTCAGTGTTGTTTTCCCGAAAAGCAAGCCACTTCTCTGATCGAGGATGAGAGTATCACCTATCTATAATAACAAAAATAAAATATTTCAAAGTTAGTTATACATGTCTATTTAGAAAAATAATAGTAGTAAGTGTCCTTGTGGGGTGTATGATCTTGCCAGTAGCAT